AGACACACCAACAATAATAAGAGCCGAGGTGGCACAGTGGTTAGGGGTGCAGTACTGCAGGCTACTTCAGCTGATTGCTAACTGCAGTTCGGCGGTTCAAATCTCACCGGCTCAGGGTTGACTCAGCCTTCCATCCTTCTGAGGTGGGTAAAATGAGGACCCAGACTGTGGGGGCGATATGCTGACTCTGTAAACCACTTAGAGAGGGCTGAAAGCCCTATGAAGCGGTATATAAGTCGAACTGCTATTGCTATTGCTATTAATGATTCGTGGTTTTTTAAAAAAACATTTCAGTGCATTCAGTTACTTTAAATCTATAAAAAGAAACAAATTCTAGGATGCTTGCTTGGTTGGTTTTTTCTGCCTGTCTATCTCTCTCTGTCATTAATTAATTAAGTGATTAAATTTTATTAGACACCCATCTTACCACTGGCTTTATTTTTTTCCCTTTTCTTTGATGTTCCTTTTTTCATAGATAGATACAGATGGCATATTTATAAAGGAAAGGTCGCTGTGTAACAGATACAGGGGAAGCAGTAGCTAATGAGCTACTGAGGATATTTTTTCTTCTGGGAAAAGCTACATGGATAAACAGAGAGAGAGAGATATTTATGGAGGGCTGCAATTTGAATCAGTAGGTTAATCAACCAAACTTCTTCGCCTAGAAGGCAAATTCTGCGAGTGATTGAATGTCAGGTCAAGAGTTAAAACAGAAGCTCTTTCTGAAAGCTCCTTTGATTGCATTTTATTTTGATTGTGCATTCTTTGATTTCTGTGCCGGACTTGTTTGAAGACCCAAAATTGGAAGTCCTAAAAAGAGGTCAGTGAAAGCATATTGAATGAAATCAAAGATGTTTAAAGACCTCCTAGAGAGAGAGAGAGAGAGAGAGATCTATGCAGATTTTCTGAAGACAGATGAAAGACCAAATGCCTATAATTTGGAGGTGAGAAAATGATGACAGTGACAATTTTGTTCTAATAATGAGTAATAGCAGCTTTTCTTTATTTATTCAATATCCCAGCCAAAAAAAACCTACACAAAACTTTAAAATTCTCCATGTCGCAGTCAACTCCTAGGAGCCACTAACCCATTCATGAAACATTCTTGACAATATCACAGAAGTTTTTTAAAATTTACCTATTTAGTCTCCAGCCTTGGGATTCGCTGGTGTTCCCCATCCAAGTCCTAACCCAGGGGTCAGCAACCTTAAACACTCAAAGAGCCACAAAGGTCCTAAACAGAAGCTCCCCATTCAGTTCTGGAGCTGACTGGAAGTCTGGTTCCCCCACCATAGAGTCTCCTCCTAGCATTTTCCCTCTATCTGTCCTAACCAAAAGCCCTTTCAATTGTGGAGCTGACCAGCGACAGGGAGCCACAGCAGAGGGATGAAAGAGCCACATGTGGCAGGTTGTTGACCCCTGTCCTAATAATTTGCTTACGGATAGGCTGAATGTTGATATTCTGCCTTTGGGATATCTTGGAGAAGTGATGAAGTCTCTGTCTTTAAAAAGGGAAAAAAGATGGATCCAAAGAATACCCAAAAATATTCTCTCCAGTTCTGGATACTATATTTTAAGAAGGATTGAGAGAAACTGGTGCAGGGAAAGATAGGGCCAATGGTCAAGAAACTAAAAAGTAAGTTATAATCTGACAATGCCGACAGCATATAAAGATAATTTATATAAAATGTTTTATAGATGGCACATGACACCTGAAAGATTAGCAAAAATGTTTAAGGATAAATCAGCCAAATGTTGGAAATGTCACCAATTGCCAGGAACGTACTATCATATGTGGTGCATGTGTAAGGATGCAAAAAGCTTTTGGGTTAAAATACAAACATGCTTAGAGAAAATGATACATAAACCCATAGAGTTTAAGCCAGATATATTTTTATTGGGTATTCTACCAGAGGAATACAGAAAAGAAGATTCATATTTGATTGTAGAAATAATAACATCAGCCAGATTTGTATTTGCACAAAACTGGAAAGCAGACAAAATCCCATCGGAGTGTGAAGTAATAAAGAAGATATTAGATTGTGCAGAAATGAACAGATTGACATTGAGAATAAAGGACAAAGAGGAATCAGTGCACTACAGGACATGGGGGCAATTTTACAAGTGGTTTGAAAAAAAGGTATAAATAGAAAGAAAAAGGAACAAAACATGAAATAAGTATCTCAGATGACACATGATTAATATAGGGGGAGGGGAAATAAGAAAATATTAAAATGTAAATATATAGGCAGAAAAATGATATGAATTGACATACAGTATGTTAAATAACAACCATAAGAATGTATATCTAAGAATGAATTTGAAAGGAAAAATAAAAAACGTTTTACAAAAAAACCTAGAAAGTAAGTCCTATGATGAGAGATTAAAGAAGTGATTGTCTGGCTTTGAGAAGACAAGACTAAAATTTGAATTTGCTAACATTCTTTAGGTATTCTTCTTAAAAACTTTCAGTATTGGAGCATTTGCAACTTCTGGAGGCAAGTTGATGTTCTAACTGTCAGGAAATTTCTCCTTAGTTCTAAGTTTCTTCCCTCCTTGATTAGTTTCCCCCCATTGCTTCTTGTCCTGCCCTCAGGTGCTTTGGAGAACAGCTTGACTCCCTCTTCTTTGTTGCAGCCCCTGAGATATTGGAAGACTGCTATCATGTCTCTCCTAGTCCTTCTTTTCATCAAACTAGACACACGCAGTTCCAGCAACCATTCTTTATATGTTTTAGCCTCCAAATGAGATCAGTTGTCCTTATAAAGTCTCAATCAATAAACAATACATATTTAGCACATTTCCAACTTATTGAATGGATGAGATGGTTCTGAAAGACTTAGGAAAGAATTGGAGTTTATTCCCTCTTCCAAGATGTGTGATGATCAGTTGTGGGCAAAGCCTCTATGCTTGAGCTCTCAGCCTGTGAGAGGCCCTGTTATGTTCTACTTGCAAAGGGAGAATTATAAATTTGGCACTCCATTGCAAATGGGTTTTACTTCTGCGATTTTCGGACCACCAGAATGGGTAGAAGTGTCATAGAGCAGGAGCGTCCAACTTTGACAACTTTAAGACTTGTGGATTTCAACTTTCCATGCTGGCTGGTGAATTCTGGGAGTTGAAGTCCACAAGTTGCCAAGGCTGGACACCCCTGTCAAAGAGCTTTGGCAGCTGCTGCTTTGCCACATCGGGATGTTTCTGGTTCCCCCCAAATTGAATTCATATCCTTCATAGGCCGAAAGCATAACGGATCAGGGTGTTTGTTTCTTCTCATTGACTACATCTCTATAAATATAGCCTTCTTACTTATGTGGATGGTATACAGCTTACATGTACGTCTGTTAAGGCACTTTATAAAGCGTTATCCTAATATCATGTTGGACGTCACGGAGTGCCTCCTGCCTAAATTATCTGTGTGAAAGGTTGAATAATCCAACCCAGCTTATTTTTAGCCAAGCTGTTTTGCAACTGTTGACGAGGAAGGCATGGCCAGAATTTTCTATTGCTGTATATAAATATGCATAGATAGTCATCCGGATGCTGAAACCTGTCGTAATACGTTCAGGTTTTGGAAGGTTGGTAACTTGACCATAATGGAATATCTGTCCCCCCCTTAAGGTATTAAGATAGAAAATTCAGAGAAAGTATAGTTAAGAAGAGAAAACAAAGATAGATAGATAGATAGATAGATAGATAGATAGATAGATAGATAGATAGATAGATAGATAGATAGATAGATAAATGGATGGATGGAGACAGACAGACAGACAGACAGACAGATGGAAATAGGATGGATAGATAGGTGGATGGATGTTTCTCATTTTTAATCTCCTTTGCTTTCCTTAAAACGTAAGTTTAAGATGGGAAGAAATCAAATGAATGGGCTGAAAGAGGAGAATTTCCATTAGCTAACAGTGGAGATATAGTAGTTATAGTATATTAGCTTTTAAACAATACATTGTTGATTGAGGCATGCTAAGCATTGTAGTTGTGTGTATGGGTGCATAAGAGAGTTATGCGTAAGAGATGAAGGGACAAACAAATTATTCCAATTCTGGCAAAAGCCAAAAGTCTCCAAGAAACAAAACAACGCAATGACACAACCTGAATTTCTCTGTTTCTTGTCTTTAACAGACTTTTTATCAAAGTGTACAATTCACCTATTTGATCTTGGTTTTTTTCCCACCGGGGTAGTGGTGGTGGGGGGGCAGGAGCATTTATATATATATAACTTACTGTACTCATTTACTCCATTTTCCTTGCCAAACGCAATTTACAACCATTTGTTTAGTAATGGTTCAAAGTTACAACAACACTGAAAAATCTGACTTAAGACCATTTCTTGCACTTGTGACTGTCATCGCCTTCCACAGTCTCAACTGGAATAATTTACAATGACAGCTTGCCATCTGAAGTTGTGGGTGCTCAATCACTGGAAGTTTTTAAGAAGACACTGGACAGTCACTTGTCTGAAATGGCACACATTCTAATACAAATAAAACTAATAGCATTAGTCATAGTTATTACTTTCAACCAACTTATATATTTCTAATAGTAATACATATGTATATAAAGTTGCAATCTGTCACTATTTAATTATTCCACATTTTTTTTCTTATTATTGCTCTTCTATAAAAGTGTATATACTAATATTCTCCTTTTCTCTTATTTCTATCTCTTAGTCTAACTTTTAATCATGTCATCCTTTGTTAAAAAAAACATTTTCTTTTCTATCCTACTTAACTTCTAATCATGTCACCTACCTACAAGAAAGAAAGAAAGAAAGAAAGGAAAGAGAGAGGAAAAGAGAAGCAAATCAAAACAACAAAAACGAAAAATCTATCCATCATCTCTTGCCCACTTCAATACTTTAGTTGCTTTGTCCAATCTATTTACCATTATCCACTAAGAATGCAAATGGCATGCTGTGAATCTGCAAGATAGAATCAGTATTTGCACTATCCACCTGTCACACTGAAAGAGTGTGCAGGCCGTGAAGAAACTGATGAATGAACATATGTATATGGAGCTCCATACATTGAATGGCATTTTCTGCAAGGATGATAAACTACTGTCACACTTATAATGAGTCTATCCTGCCAACAGCTCTAGCTCACCCACAGAATTCTAATGTGCATCTTTTCATTAACAAAATCAGAATCCAGCAGCGTCAGAGCAATTTTTCTCCTCTCTCCTTCCATTTTCGGTGAGGCGGGGGGTGGAGAAAATGAAAGTAATAGATTTTTGTCAGAGTTACTGAAAATAAAGGTTCATAATAGTTACTGCCCTATTCAGAAATATATTTCAAAAATGTATTTAGCCCCTTTTCTTTTCCTCCTCATTTTGTATTTCAGCCTCAGAACAATGGTATTTCTCCGCGCATGTTCAAAGCATTTATAAGCAAAGGGCACCCCGAATTCTCCTCCAGTCGGCAACAAGATGCACTAGAATTTTTCCTGCACCTTATCAACCTGATAGAGGTGAGCAAAGGTTAATGTCTTTTTTTTTGCATGAATAAACTAGCAAAAAAGATAATATCAACCAATCTTGCACAAACATTTAGAAGTTTTATTTATAGATAAATGTGGTACCAACTGTCAGGTTTCTGGTCAAGGACATTGATTATTTTAAATTCTTCTAGAGGTTTAAAGCAAGTATAGGATCCAACTGAAAGAAATTTCAAGAACTTGGTGCTGATAGAGCCTTATTATAGACAAGAAGGAAGACTAATCTCTCTAAATCTCCCTTCCTTCCTTCCTCCCTCCCTCCCTTCTTCCCTCCCTCCCTCCCTCCCTTTCCACCTGTATACATGTACACATGCACGAGACTAGGATACCTCAGAACAGAGAAATCAATTTATAGACATTCATTTTTCAAAAAAGGGCATCCCGTTGGGTAGGCAATTTTGAGATGTAAAGAAATCCTACACTATACTGGTAGTCCTTGACTTGCAACCACAATGGGGCCCAAAATGTATGTTGCTGAGACATTTGTTAAGTGAGTTTTGTCCCATTTTTCTACTTTTCTTGCTGCAATTGTTCAGTGAATCTGGCTTCCCCATTGACTTTGCTTGTCAGAAGGCCGCAAAAGATGATCGCTCGACCCTGGGACTCTGCAACCGTCATAAATACGAATCAGTTGCCAAGCACCCAAATTTTTGATCAGGTGACCATGGAGATGCTGCAATGGCCATAAGAATGAAAAACAATCCTGAGTCACTTTTTTCCAGTGCCATTGTAACTTGGTTGTAAGTTGAGGACTACCTGTCTTTCAAATTGTGATAGATTGTGATATTCAATCCTATGGGGAGGTTTGCAGTAGAAATTCTCAAATTGTTCTGACCCAGGCTTCCTTAGAAAGCAAAAGCAAAGTCTTAGTCCCCCAAAAACATCTTTTATTTACATGACTGTGAATTCCTTTCATTCACAGTTGCATGGCTTATCAAACAGCCTTTCAAAGGAATGTTTATCCACACGCACCTTATCTCATTAGGAGTGCTGCCAGATAACAAGTGTCCAAATACAGAGCAAAGCAAAAGCTTCTCACAAACATAACTTTCCATACCAATGGATGAATTGTTTCCTGCAAAACTCCACTCCCAGTTCGTTCCTCTCTGCCTCCAACGCAGAGCCCACATCTGAGCTTTCCTCAACCCTCAGGACTGGCCCATGTTCCTCCCCAGCCTCCTCACTGTCCGACTCTCCTGCCAGCTCCGCAGGCTGCTGGCAGACCACAACACAAATGCCCTTATTTCATACTGGTATATGATCAGGTTTATTGCAAAACTCAAGACAACCATAAAGAGGTCACTTGTGGGATGCCTTTTGTTGATAAATGATCTACAAACGCAGAATATATTCCAGATCATATTAAGCATTTCCAACCCTTATTGATTTCACTCGGAGTTCTCTGCTGAAATCAATGAGCCTTTGAGTTATGAAACTTTCATTGGCTTGCGTACACAATGATTTTTTGAAAAATCGAGCAGTATACATTTAACAGAGAGGGAACTTCTGTACTGTTAAATGCTGACTGATATCTTTGAAGCGCTTGTTCCCCCAGTGGAGAATACAAAGCTACGGTTTACTTCCCTAGTGCTTTGTGCAATATTTTCCCCTACGCACAAATCCTTAATCTAAGTATCTCCAGAGGTAGAGATGTACTGCATCTATTTCCAGAACCATGGAAGTGCAATTTGACAAGGCATTACAGCTTTCCACAGCATGAGATATCTAAAAAAAATAAAAATTCAATATCCTCAACTAGGATTTTGAGAGTTCCGGGTGGTAGAAATTGTGGGACTTTCACTATGTGCCTTAATTCTGATTTACTAAGGCTTGGGATGGTAGCATTAGAATTGTTTGGGTTTTACAATTTTGCTCCCAGCTAGTATATTATTGTCTTGGAAATGCTAGCTATATATGGCCTGGGATAATCAAGCGTGCCCCACAATGCAATGTGCGCCGCCCACCTGCGTATGCACATGCAACCCCCCCCGCACATGTGTGCACAATCCCCTGGGCATTCATGCACAAACTCCACACACATGGGGGGAATTTTCGCCCTCCCCAGGCTTCAGGAAAACTCCCAGAGCCTGGGCACAGTGAAAAATGGGCCCAACAGCCGGACCGGAAGTTCGGAAACAATCCATTACTGGCTTACAGAGGGCGTCCGAGACCCGGGAGAGCCATTTTCGCCGCCCCCAGGCTCCGGAGGCTTTCCTGAAGGGGAGGATAAAAACGGCCTCTCCCCTGGCCCTCTGGGAGGCCGAAAATCAGCTGGCTGGCCTGTGAATGCCACCTGGAGCTGACGGCTCAGGTGCCAACAGATATGGTTTAGTGGTTTAGTGGTTTAG